CACTTTTCACTTACGATACCCAAAGGACCTATAAACTCACAGTTATCATCATAAAATTTGTTTACTGATTTCTCAAAAAAAAAAAAAAAAATTATGTGAAGTCCAGATACTGCAACTTTTCAGTCATTGGATGTCTGCATTTTGAACTTTGTACTACACGGTTGTATTTAAACTGAACATTATAAAAGCTGTTTTCTATCACAATCTTCAATTAACTTTGAAATGATATTGTTGCAAACCCAGCTGCGATGAAATCGCTTCCCCGCAAAACGGGGTTTGTTGCCAGAAAGTGACAGAAAAATGCAGAGTTGTCACATTTGCCGTGAAACCGCCCATTTCGCTATATGCCACAGACAGAGCAAGAACATACCCTGCCTGCACATGGAGTAGTAGTACCTTGAAATGAGTAGTCTCCTGAGCTCAGACATCAGATCGAGAGTGACTGACCGAGTCAGGAGCTGTACTTTAGTGCTTTGCCATTAAGCCGTCATCACTGTTATAGCCTGAAGGCTGTGTTGCTGATTGTTTCAGCATGTTTGTCACAGTTTTTTTATGACCGCAAACGTGTGTTTGGAACTGTCCTGTGTAATATGGACAAAAAATTATGTTTTGATTCTTCATCATGTGTTATCATCAATTACTCTAAATCTACAAACCCATAGAAAACAATATCAAAGTTCTGGTGGTACTTTTCTGTTTCACCGGTGCAAATCTCGCCAAGCAGACTTTGTTGGCAACAGCATACAGTATACACATAAAAAATGTTAACAAATGTTAGTTCTCAGAATTTTTGATTTTGAAGGCATAAACATTTTAATTTGGTTTAAAATTTTATAAAAAGCCAATAAATAAAGACAATAAATTTGTAAAAAGACATTAATCTAAGAATTTACTATGCTTTCATAGTTCAACATCCTGATTCGCCGGTTCGTACCACGTGACTGCAAGTGATCTCATCTCACGTAAACTACGCTACAAAAATCTAATTCTCATAGTAATTATCTACATTAATTTCAAGTTAAATACTAATTTGGAATACAAGTTTACATGTGAGAATTATTTAAACTCGTACGAATAGCTGACTCAGAAATAATGTAAAACCGCAGTGCATTCTCATTAGAATTAATGAATTTAACCTTTAATTTTGCCTTTTTTATATTTTCGCCTTCGGGTGAGCGATGCGATTGCATCCTAATTGACTTAAATACCGCAAATGGTCTTAGGGCATAAATTTAACTATCTTGTAAACATTCTATGTAATTGTATGCCAGTATTAAAAGAAACAATCAATCTGATAAGAAAAGGCTGCGACTTGTTTTGAAAATGAAGCGTAAAAGGTTACCAGCGAAGATATTCCGCTTGGCATCGGTTGTGCCATTATTGGCGACTATCATTTGTGCCAGCAAAACGAAAAAGTACCGTTCTGGCCTGAGATGACATACAGTATTTACTCAAATATTTTCAAATTTAAATTTCATCACTAAAAAGAAAGTTACATGATATACAGCATCTCTGAAGGAAAGGCATAATCTAGTACATCAAAAACACATATAAAGAGATGCATTATTTATATCACTGCATTTTAAAGAAGTTATTAACTTTACTAATATAAGCAGAAGTCAATTTTTGCACATTTTTAAAAATTAAAATTTTTTTAAGAGATTTTTCTCGCTTCTGTTCACTTCTGTGCAGTTGCTCCCACTTTTTATTTTCATTTTCTTCCATGTTTTATTTGGAGGAAAAAATGTCTAATCAAACATTCTTAATAAAGGAACAATCACTTGCCCCTTGAACATGAACTTTCAAAGACCGACTAGCATCACTTCTTGATGAAAAGTTAGCTGATGATTTCAAATTGAAGCCAATGCTAATTTATCAAGCAGAAAATCCTAAAGCGTTGAAAGGGAAAGATAAAGAACTGCTTCCAGTAATTTTGAAATAAAATTAAAATGCCCGAGTTCCTATTAAAACTATTTCTATTAGTATTAAAATTACTATTAAACATTACTATTTAAAGATTGGTTCACTTTTCATTTTGTGCTAGCAGTTAAGCAAGACTGTAAAGATAAAAATTTACAGTTCAAAGCATCATTAATTTTAGACAACGTTCCATGACACCCAAGTCTCTGCGGAATTTATACCCGGAAACCAATGTGTTTCCTACTTCCAATACTACCTGCCTCACACAGCCCACAGGATAAACAGTCATGAGTACGTTATAACGATATTATATGAGGACAATAATGAATCTGGCCATCAAGAAAACTGGCATGGTAGGTGCGCCTACATTAAGAGGTACTTGGAAGATATTTCAAATAATTCCTTCAATATATTATAATATATTAAATGCAATAAAAAAACTCTGAGATTCGAGGGCTAATATTAAACAGTTAACAATGAAAGACTCCTGGAAACAATTATGCCCACAAATGATAAGTAATTTTATAATTGCTGAAGAAACTTTGAAAACTATCACATATGAAATAGGTAGCCTAATGAATGAACTAAACTTGGACATAAAAAACGATGTTAATGACTTGATTAAATCTCACTCTATCAAATGAATACCAATTGAGGAACAAGACTTAAATGAAAAGTATCAGTGAAAGTGAAGAAGCTGATGAAATTGTCAATAATTTGACTGTGAACAATGTGAAAAATGTAGGAAGTATGAATAAAAAATATGAATCTTAAAACATTTTTTACCATCATGAAAAAATGAGATCTCAATGGAGAACATATATCTCAAGTAGGTAGGGAGGACTGAGAAAGACACAGCATGTTATAAAACTCTTAAGAAAAGGAAACTTAAATACCGCGAATACATATTCCTTAAGAAAAGGGAAAAAAAAAAGATGGTATTCAAACTAACTTTTGGCAATTTCGTAAATAAAACACCTAAAAGAGCTTAAACATGCCTCGTTTAATTAATTATGTATATTCATAAATAAATATTAGTTCTGATGCTAAACATTTTAAAATACATTTTTTAAGACCGCCTGTATTACTTTTTACTTACACAATGCATTTCCCTTCTTTGGACACATCATACATTGTTATATAAATCAGAATTTTCGGTATTATTCCAATTTGAAGACCATAAAAAAACTACAGCTAAAATGCATGCGCAAAAGCGCCAAATCTAGCAAATGCACCCATTTAACAGAGCGCCAAATCTAGCGTACACGCTGATTTCTAATTGCTTAAGTTTAGATAGTTCTATATTTCTTAAGATGCCATTGAAATACTAGTTTTATTTTTAAATCCTTTTTTGACTTTAAATCCTATGGATTCAACAATATGGATTCAACAATTTGGTGCCCATGATGAAAAGTCTGAAATGGAACTTTTTCAAAGAAAAGCCATCATTCATTATAGAAAATTATGTTTGAACAACCAACAGATGAAATTATGCTTTAGTGATACCTCTGTAGGGAAATAACAATGCAGGAATCCATTCAGTTATGTTTAGCCTTTTCTTACATAAATTAACAATATATATAACAACAATATATTAACAATATATATTCACTCATAATGATCTGAAATAGTTGTTTACTCTTATGCTTTCATTCAGTTATGTTTAGCCTTTTTTACATAAATTATAATAATAAAAAAAGTATTATAGGAAATTAACCTTTCATTTAAATTAAAACAATAATCTTAAATAATTATTTACTATTATACTTCTTTTCTTGTGTTAGGGTTGCCGTAATTATTTTTGGCAGCACTGGCATCAACAATAGTTTGGTGATTTTTTACGGTCCTCAAAACGGAATAGTACCGAATTTTCTAAATCATAAGTTGAAAAAAACCTGAGGAAGGGATATCAGACTAACAGAAATATATGAGTATATGTGGTATTTTTAAGCTACAAATCACCTGTTGGTTCAAACTATGCCTGAGTTCAAAAACTCAGGTAGTCTTCTACTTATGAGTGTAAACAATCTTTGTGCTCATTAAGAAGAAGACTGCCTATAATAGAATAGCATTTTCTCTTTTTTCATTTTTCTCTTTCAGAACATCATTTTCTCCAAACATAAAATCAATGGATAACATACAGTAAGCTAACTCAGAAGTCAAACAACAAAACTCAGCGTCATATTTTCAAAATTTTCACAGGACTAGTTTCGATGGTTTTACCGAACCACCATCCTCAGCTGCAAAACCGCATTTCAAGGACCCCATTCCGGATATGAATTCCTGGGGTATTTACAGGCTTCCTTACCATTGTGGTTTAATTTACTTTGGCCAAACTAAGAGAGCCTTAAAATTTCACGTCAAGGAACACGAGGCATATGTTAGAAAAAAGGAAACACAGAAGCTTCTGTTGCTCAACATTGTTGGTCCAAAAATCACAGTTTCAATTTTTCTGACCAAAATTATTCAAAATACATCTTCCATTGGAGAATTGGATTTTCTAGAAGCATTTCACATTCAAAAAAATCTTTCTGCTCTAGTTAACGATCCTAATTCCAATCCATCTTTGCCTTCCGCCTTTAAAGAAATTATATTTTATTTCATGGTTTCATCAACAGATGGCACTATTTGCTTATTCCTGTCCAGGCTTTCTTATCTTATCCAATCATTATTTCCTATCTTGTTTATTTGCAGATTTGCAGCTGAGGATGGCGGTTCAGTAAAACCATCGAAACTAGTCCTGTGAAAATTTTGAAAATATAACGCTGATTTTTGTTGTTTGATTTCTGAATTAGTATTTATTCGGTGTGTTATTGTGTCGTAAATACAATAAACTATTTAGAAAAATTATTCATTCAGAATAATGTTTCGGAATAATTTTACCTTATTAATCTTAGATTGAATTTTTGACCTCATTTGTACAATCTCATTTTATTAAAAACAATTATCAAATTTCTTTAAAATAAAGATTATTTTATCATTAAGTTAAACAAAATAGACTTCTTTCATTTAATAAAACTTCAAAATATTATTTATCATAATTTATACTCAACAAAAAAACAAAAAAAAAAAAAAATTACTTTGTTAAAGACTTCTTGAAGTTTTTCAGGATCAGCTCGTCTTGTATATTGAGTTCCCTGAAAAGAGAAGTAATTTAGAGACAGACTCACAGGAAAAACAAAATGGAATTACAGATTATAACTAAATAAGAGTGTTATGCACACACTGTACAAAATAAGTCTGTTATCTGTTTAAATGGGCAGGTATGAATATGGACATTCAGCACTAACACTTTTTTAATCTCTCAATAAAATACACTGAAATAAACTTAATTAAATTTATACATAAGAAATGCCATAAAGTGACAAAAATAATTCCATTAAATAACAACATGAAATAAATGAAAATTTAAGCTTTTATTATACATACATTAAAGAAATCACCGAGACAGAAAGTAATTTAAATTTGTTTTAATACTGTGAACATTACATTTCTTAACAGGCGAGATAAAAAAATACTTTTTAACATAAAAAAATCTGGTGTGTACAACACACGACTTCCTTGTATGGAACATTAAATTATATGCATTTTTCCTGCATTTCGTTTACACACAGTTAAAACAATTATAAAAACAATTTTTAGAATCAGAATTAAGAGTTTCTGCACAAAAACAAGCAATTTAGCCAGCAGGCAAGAAGACAGATTTTTCGGTGCACAAAACTAAGTTTCCTTTTGGTCCCACTCAGCAAAAAGTGAAGGTGGGTGCAGAAAAACTTAATTCACTATTCTGCTAAATTTCAAATGTAAACAAATATGGCTGCTATGGTAAGACAAATTAGATTTAGCCGCACTTAAATTACTTTTAAATTGTTGATAATTCTACAACTATTGAATGCCGATTAACTAAAGGCATAAAAACCTAAACCGAAAGATAAGGAGAACATAATTCAATCATTTTTAAAGCAAAAAATATGAAATTTACCATTATATAAGGGAAAAAAATGACCTCACTGAGCTGAGTAACAGAGTGGTATATACTTTTGGTGTGGCTGACCGGAACCAAAAAAGTAGGTACACAACTACATGTTATAATAGTCTTATATATAAAATTTCAATGTTCTGAGGCTACCCGTTTTTGAGTCGTGCGAGATACACACATACGTTTGTACGTATGTATATATGTATGTATTCGCAATGTACGCACGTACATACGTACATGTGCCCACGAAAAAATCTCTTTTGAATCCATTTTACATCAGTTTTATAATTCGTTTGAGGAAATAGAGTTCTTTATTCTGTCCTTACGTACAGATGTCATGCAAAAACATCATTAAATTGCATTCGATAGCAGTCAAAATAGATATTTTCGTTGAAATATGATACCCGGAATTTTTTGTGATTACAATACTTCCTTTACTTCTTAAAAGGAAGCAAAAACAGTGCAAATAGCTTAATTGGGAGCAGTTTCGATTTTTTTAATTTTCCCTCATTACGTATTTTAGTGTTTTTCTGTTAACACAACATAAATTGCCAAATGAGGTCACTTGTTTATATCATGTCATGAAAAACTATGCAATGTTTAATATGCACCATGTCAAATTTGCACAATTCTGTTTTTTTCTTTCTTTAAGGAAAAAAATCAGAGAATTTCTCAAATTTGTTATCAAACACAGCTTCTACACATACAGGTAGCCCTCCTACAACACGGCATCCTATAACACGGTTTCACTAAATCACAAATCATAAATTTCGAGAGAACCCTCCAACAACACGGCATCGTACCACGGTTTTGCTCTAACATGATAAGAAAATTGCCCAAGTAATCCCAAGAAATTTAATAAACTCTGCACAAAGTTCTTTCATATTGAGCAACACACCAACATAGTCTACTTTGAAAAAAGTGGCCGAAATATAGGCCAGATCTGCAGGGTCTAAAAAAATGGCTCTGACCCAAATATCGGTCAGAGAAATTCTGCCCCCTTATCCTTCAAGGTGTGGGGATAGTCATTGTCCAACAACCTTCCATGCCACTTATCCGCGCTTTCGCCCTAGTCTGTTATCTGAAAATTAACAAATGTGACACCCTAAAGGAAAGACTTCAAAAGAGTAATAATTTCACACTGAAATGGCAATTGAAAGAATGGAAGTAACATTCCTATTTCCTTGTCCGTTTAAGTAAACCTTTCCAAAATTTTCAGTCTTTTAAGGGTTAATACATAAGAATCCTTGTTTCGTAAGTCCTGCCAGTTGTCTTCCAAGTTCCGGTTCCCGTAAGATAAAAAATCCTCAAGGAGACAAGCCACATGGTGGAGACCGACCATTAAATTTTTAACCGATAACAAGGAAAATTCGTTTCCTTCCATGACCGTCAAAGTATAGTACAATACAAACGATACCCAGTCACAAAAGACCACAGTCCCCAGATAACAATGAAGGAACCTCACTATCGAAGAAGATGACTTGTCACAGTAAGAGCTAAAAAACATTCGGCTTCCAAAATTTGAATCTTCATTTACGTAGTCTGAAAGCAAAATTATTTCACGCCGTTGGTCATCAGTCTACGTGGAGCCATGGTGTGTTAAAGGATAACTTTTTTGCATTAAGACATTAAGTTTCAGTCCTACAATATGTCCAATAAAGATAAAAGAACAACGTTTAAGAGAAAATTTATTTCTTTACAAGTAAAGATACAAAACTTGGATCATCTTTTAATGGAGAAAAGGCATCTTACGTTGGAAAAAGTCTTAACAATGAAGCATCAGTACAGGCTATTAAGAAAACGAAAGAGAAATAAGAAGTGCAGTTGCTGCAAAATCTTCCGAGATCCTCAAAACATGCAGCTCGCCCCTCGGCACCAACAATTAAGAAGATGGAAAAGGCACTCAGCATTTAGATTGATGATAGTTTTTTAAAAAAGACTTCTGTTGAATGATAATATCATTAAACAAAAAACACTCAAAATTTACAAGCACCTTAAAGAATATGGAGAATCCTCTGTCGACCCAGATTTTGTGGCAAGTAAAGGTTGGTTCGAAAATTTCAAAAAGCTTTTCACCATTCATAGCATAAGAATTCAAGGAGAATCTGCATTGGCTGATTATGAAGCTACTAGGACATTTCCTGACAAAATTCAAAATATTATAGAAAAGCAAAGATACACAGCAGATCAAATTTTCAATGCCAATGAAACTGGGCTGTGGTGGAAAAAAGTGCCTAGTAGAACCTCTATACCGAAAAAAGAAAAAAATGCACCCAGATTTAAGGTGTCTAAAGATCGTCTAACACTACGTTTGTGCAGTAATGCGTCGAGGAGGGGGACTTTATGACAAAACCCTTGTTTACAGATCTTTAAATTCTCGTGCACTTAAAGGCATAAATGAAAACATCTTACCAGTATAATAAAAAGCAAATCCAAGAGCTTGGGTAACTGCAAATTTATTTGCACACTGCCTTTTAAATTGTTTTGTATCAGACATTGAAGGCTATTTAAGGCAGAAAATTTTAAGCTTCAAGGCGCTATTACTATTAAATAATGCTCCATGTCACCCATAAGATTTGAACCATCCCAATGTCAAAATACTGTTTCTACCACCTAGCACTACTTCGTTACTCCAACCAATGGATCAGGGTATTATTTATACCTTTAAAATGTATTACACAAGAAGAGCATTACAGTGGATTTTAGACGTAACTAATTCAAAATCAATTAATGTAATCGAAGCCTGGAAGAAATTTTCAATCAAGCACTATATCAACATCATATCGCTGTCACTGAAAGAGCTGAAAACATCAACATTACATGCGTGTTGGAAGAAGATATGGCCCTCTTCAGTTGAAATAGAAAACGTGTAAATCATCAGAAAATGAAATTGGTGGCACATTAGAATTTGCTAAGTCAATCGGAGGCAAAGATTTTCTGGATATGGCTATTAAGGACGTTGAAGATTTATTCATGGAAGAAGAAACTGATGAAGCACATTTGATGGAAATGTCAATTGAAGCTGTAAATCGAGTCTGAAGACATTAGGGCACTGATGAAGATTGTACGGTTAATAATTTAACAGTAAAAAAATTAAAAGAAGGCCTAAGCTTAGCTGAAAATCTTGAGTCATTTTTCTTGAATGCAAACCCTCCTGCTGAAAGAAACCATGAATTAAAAAGGGTTTTGCAAAACTGTCTAGCTCTACATTGAGAAATTTACAATGACCTGGTAAGAACTAGTAGGCAAAGTAAAATTACAGATTTTTTAAAGAGGGAAGAAGATGCCAGAACTTTAAATGAAGAAAAAAATTCTGAAAATGAAAGCTACCTCATTCCACCAAAAAAAACCATCTCGGTTGATTATACTGAGCAATGACGACAAAGAAATTAATTAAATTAAAGCTGCATTAAATTAAAATAAATTTTTGTTTTGTTTTGTGTACACTACATTTAAATTTTAATAAAATTTAAAATATTATGTAGAATTAAAAAAATACTTGGCTTTAATAAGTTTTCAGAACATAACCCTCCTTTTTGTACTGGCTCTGGGTCTCGTACAACACGGCATTTTCTAGGAACCTATCTGTCGTGTTATAGGAGGGTTACCTCTATTACACATTATATATATTATATGATACAGTGTTATAGCAAGTTTTTTTACATTGGAGATTTATGCATCATTAAAACTGCTGCCATCAAGTCAGATTTTGGTGTCTGAAGTTTATGTTTGGCATTTGGTAGTGTCCCAATACCAAAAAAGCAACTTCATTTAAAATAATAATTGGATTTCATAATGGATTCTTTTGGAGAATCTTAAACATTAGTTTATTAACGACATGACATTAACAAAGTTACGAATTAGTTATAAAAATATGCAGCCAACGTGCATTAAAAAGAAAATAAGAACTTAGGAGAAAATTTATGTCATATTTTAAATTTTATGAAATAGTATACAAGAATAATACTTTAATTCCCATACTCACATAATATACTGCCTCCCTTACGAAAACACATGGATTTTTCCTCTAGAAAAGCATTAGAAGTAAACACATCACTATATACTTCAAGAATGCTTTTTCCCAATCATCTTCAACTTGGCCAGTTTCTTTGATGTTAGGTATTAATACAATAGTGTTTAAGAGATAATAAAATTCCA